GGGCATAAAATGGATCTGGCAGATAAGATTAAAGATAATCCCACGAGGTTCGATAGCTATATTAAGAGTAAAAGGCTAGCTAGGGAGAGAATAGGTCCCCTGAAGATCAGCATGGCCATCTATGTGTGGAGCCACAGGCGATGGGGGAGATTTTTAATGAACATTTTTCCTCAGTGTTTACGGAGGGGAGAATCGTGGATGCTAAGGAAAGAAGGGAAACAAGTGGGGATGTTTTGGATCGCATGCGTATTACCAGAGAGAAGCTGTCTGCAGCCTTAGATCACAGAAAGGTGGATAAATCCTCTGGGCCTGATCAAGTCCATCTTTGGTCGTTGTGGGAGACTGGGGAAGAAATTGCAGAGGCCCTTTCAGAGATTTTTGCTTCAGCTTTAGCCACTGGTGAAGTTCTGGAAAACTGCAAGGTGGCTAATGTTGTTCCATTGTTTAAGAAAGCTAGCAAAGACAAGCCAAGCAAAGACAAGACTACAGGCCAGTAAGCCTGATATCAGGCAAGTTACTGGAGAGGGTACTGAGGGACAGGATCAAACAACATTTGGATAGTCAAGGTCTGATTAGGGATTGTCAGCATGGATTTGAGTGTGGAAAGTCATGTTTGACAAATCTCTTTGCGTTTTCAAAGAGGCAACCAAGAGGATAGATGAGGGTAGGGCAATGGATGTTGTCTAAATGGACTTAGTAAGGCCTTTGACAAGGTCCCGCACTGCAGACTAGTCATGAAGGTTAGGTCGCATGGGATCTAGGGAGAGCCAGCCAATTGGATTCAAAATTAGCTCGATGGTAGGAAGCGGAGGATATTGGTGGAAGGTTGTTTCTTGGACTGGTGGCCTGTGACTAGTGGTGTGCCACAGGGATCGGTGCTGCGACCTTTGATATTTGTTATTTACATAAATGATCTGGATGTGAATGTATAAGGCATGATTAGCAAGTTTGCAGATGATACGAGATTAGCAGGTATCATTGACAGCAAAGAAGGTTATCAAAAATTACAGAGGGATCTTGATCAGATGGGGAAGTGGGCTAAGGATTGGCAAATGCAATTCAATACAGTTAAAGTGTGAGGTGTTGCACTTTGGAAAGTCAAACCAAAGTATGATTTATACAGTAAATGGTAAGGTCCTGAGGAGTCTTGCTGAACAAAGAGACCTTAGATTACAGGTTCATAGTTCCTTGAAAGTGCAGTTGCAGGTAGATAGGATAATGAAAAAGGCATTTGGTATACTTGCCTTTATTGTTCAGTGCATTGAGTATAAGAGTTGGGAGGTCATGTGTAGCTGTACAGGACATTGGTTCAGCCACTTTTGGAGTACTGCATGCAATTCTGGTCTCCCTCCTATAAGGATGTTGTGAAACTAGAAAGGGTTCAGAAAATATTTACAAGGATGTTGCCGATGTTGGAGGTTTGAGCTATAGGGAGAGGTCGAATAGCTGGGGCTATTTTCCTTGGAGCATCAGAGGCTGAGGGGTGAGCTTATAGAGATTTATAAAATCATGAGGGGCATGGGTAGGGGAAATGGACAAGGTCTTTTCCGCAGGGTGGGAGTCCAAAACTAGAGGGCATAATTTTAAGGTGAAAGGGGAAAGATATAAAAGGGATCTAAGGGGTAAGATTTTCATGCAGAGGGTGGTGCGTGTATGGAATGAGCTGCCAGAGGTAATGGTGGAGACAGGTACGATTACAACATTTAAAAGGCATCTGGATGGGTATGTGAATAGGAAAGGTTTAGAGGGATATGGGACAAATGCTGGCCAATGGAACTAGATTTATATAGGATTTCTGATCCACTGGACGAGTTGGACTGAAGAGTCTGTTTCTGTGCTGTATATCTCTATGACTCTTATTCAAGAAAGGAGCAAGGGATAAACCAGCAAACTACAGGCCAGTCAGTCCATCCTCAGTGGTGGGGAAACTATTGGGAGCAATTCTGAGGGATAGAATTAATCTGCATTTGGAGAGTCAGGGATTAATCAATAATAGTCAGCATTGTTTTGTTAAGGGAGATCATGTCTGACTAACTTGACTGGATTTTTCAAACTGCATGTGAGACTGATAGCAAAGGTAAGAGCCCATGAATTCCAAGGAAATTTAGCAATTTGAATCCAGAACTGGCCAAGTGGCATGAAGCAGAGGATGATGGTTGAGGGATGTTCTTCTGACTTGAAGTCTGTGTCCATTGGAGTCCTACAGGGATCTGTGTTGGAACACTTGCTGTTCATGATTTATATAGATCCTTTACATTTAAATGCAAGAGGGTTGATCAATAATAGTTGTCAGACAATACAAAAAATTGGTGTTATGGTAAATACTGAGGAGGACACCGTAGACTATAAGAGAACATAGATGGGCTGATCAGAAGTGTTGATCAGTTGCAAATGGAATCCACCTGGATAAGAGTGAGGTGATGAACTCAGGCAGGACAAACAAGTCAAAGGCAAAATGAAACACAGAACTCTGGAAAGCACTGAGGATCAGAGACACCTTATTGTGCATAAACACCGGTCCCTTTAAGGTATCAGGACCAGTGGATAAAGTAGTTAAGAAGGCATATGGTATACTTGCCGTTATTAGTCGAGGCATGGAGTTTAATACCAGGGAGGTTATGCTAGAACTGTATTTGATGTTGGTTTGGCCACAGTTAAAGTGTTGTGTGCAGTTCTTGAATCCAGATTCAAGGACGGATATGATAGCATCGGAGAGGGTGCAGAGGAGATTTACTGTGATGTTGCCTGGGCGGCAGTGTTTGAGTTACGAACAGAGATTGGATGGACTTGAGATTACTTTCCTTAGAGCAGAGGAAATTGACAGAGGATAGGATTAAGATGTATAAAATTATGAGGGACATAGTTAAGTTGGACAGGCATAAATTGTTCTTCTTGATGTACGGATCAATGACTGGAGGCATAGATTTAAGGTAAGGCGTAGCTGGTTTGGGGGAGATGTGAGCAAAAGCCTTTTCACCCATAGGTGGTGGGAGTCTGGAACTTACTGCCTTTAAAGATGGTAAAGGCAATAACCTTCATAACATTTAAGAAGTATTTGGATATGCACTTGCGATGCCAAGACATACAAGGTTATGGGCCAAGAGTTGAAAAATAGGATTAGAATAGTTAGTTGTGATTGTTTTTGACTGGTGCTGACATGGTGAACTGAAGGGCCTTTTTCTGTGCTGTAGATCTCTTTGAATCCTATTAATGTTGTCATATACAGGTACATCTGCAACAAGTATATTGGTAAGGTCTATTAGGTTTTTCCTTGTTAGTTCCCTCACCATGTGTAACAGACCCAGTCTAGCAGCTTTGTTCAGTTATGTTTTTTAGGTGTAGGCAACTCATGCAGTAGTGGCATGACCATGATAACCTGACTGAAGTTCCCCTTGCCAACCTAAGTGCTTCTTTCTAGCGTTGTTCAACATGGAGAAGTACTGATTCATCAGCAGGGCGTGGGGGGGAGGCGGTAAGGTGATAATCAGCAGATGATTTCCTTTCCAATGTCTGATGTAATATGTAATGCCTTAAGACTTGCCTGTGAGGACTCAATGTCAATAGGCCCCATGACAACTCCTTCAGAACTATATCCCAATGAGATGCCAACTCTGGTTGAGTCTGCCCAATGAGACAAAACGGAGAAAGTAATGATGATTGTATGTAAAGTGCGATTCAGAGAGTTCAACTTTGTCAATCCGTTGAATGTTTAGACAGGTCTAATTTTGGCACAAGCTCCATATGCTAGTAAGGAGAACCTGGAAGAGTCTAGTTTGTGCTTGTCATTTTCCAGTGCCTAAGCTTAACTGGGATGGTCCATTCAGTTTTATTTCTCTTGTAGCGGTTTGGTACAACTAAGTGGCTCACTGTGTCACTTCAAAGGAAATTTAAGAGTTAACCACATTGCTGTGTGTCTGGAGGACAATTTAGGCTAGACAAGATAAAAATAAAATCAATTTTCCTTCCCTACAGAGCATTAGTGAGGCAGATGGATTTTTGCAACAATAAACAATGGTTGATTGTCAGTTGTCAATCACTAAGAGACCAACGCGGTCTGTCAACTCAAGCCAAAGTTACATCCTATATGTAGCTTTATTGAGTGTGTATCTCCCAATTACTATTCTGCAACTATGATCAGAACATAGGTGTGATTGTATAAAACATGTTCCTAGGTCAGGACTGGAAGGCAGGCAGTGGGGAAGCAGAGTCAGTTTCTAGCCAATTTAGTCACTAAATGGCTTCAGGGCAGCCATTATTGGCCAGGATGAATTCCCTACCAATTCTTTGGGTGAGGGGAGAGAAACACCACAATTGGATAAGTAAAAACCGAAAGAACTGCGGATGCTGTAAATCAGGAACAAAGTTGCTGGAAAAGCTCAGCAGGTCTGGCAGCATCTGTGAAGGAAAAAAACAGAGTTAACGTTTCAGGTCTGGTGACCCTTCCTCAGACCTCACAGATGCTGCCAAACAATTGGATAAGTCTTGGCCCATGTCTGAGGAGGTAATGGCCTAGTGGTATTATCGCTAGACTGTTAATCCAGAGAGTCAAGTAATTTTCTGGAGACCTAGCTCAAATCCCACCTTGGCAGATGATGGAAGTACATGAAGGGACAGGTTAATATGATAGTTAAGGCATCTGGAAGTAAGAGTCTAACGATGACTATGAACCTGGTACCAATTGTCAATTGTTCACTATTATCCTTTAGGGAAGGTAATTGCTTTCCTTACCTGGTTTGGCTACATGTGACTCCAGATCCACAGCAATGTGGTTGACTCCTAACTGAACTCTGAGTAATTAGTGATGGACAATAAATGCTGCCCTATGCAGTGATATCCACATCCTATGAATTAATTGAAAATGAAATTGTATTGTCTGCACAGTCCTAAGTGCATTCAGAAAATCTACAGTGAATGTATTTCTGTAAAACTGCAGACATTAAATAAAAATCAAGGATGAGCAAAGACTGACAACACCGGAGGAAAATAAAACATGAAGTCACCTTATCAACTAGTTTTAAATTTACACCTGCTATAAGGATCATGTCAGCAATCACGTGCCTGCCATTCTCTGCTGCGATGTGAAGTGCTGTTTGCTGTCTCTGTGGGAAAACCATTTGCAATTTGTTAATACAAATCATTACAAACCATCCTTTCACAAAATGTTGTGGAAACCATAGCTGCAATACTTGTCCCATGCAGAGTATTCCTCACAGATAATGCAACCACCACTCTTCTTTAAACCATGGGCATGGAAGAAGACACTAACTAGAATCGTTGAATGGGAATTTCTAGCAAGGTATCAAAAATGGGGATGCTGCATAGGATAATGTCAGGCGAGAGGTTGGTCTGGAAGCCCAGGTCTAATCCTCCAGTGGAAGTTCAAATCTCAGCATAGCAATTGGGGAATTAATTAATCAGAAACAAAAACTGTTCATCTCATTAATACTGACCATGAAACAACCAGATTGTTGCAAAAACCCATCTGATTCACAAATGACCTTCCTTACCTGGTCTGCCCTATGCGCGACTTCAGATCCACAGCAATGTGGTTGACTCTGAAATGGCCTAGCAAGAAAAGTCAAGTGAGAATAAAATTGGAACAAGCACCCAACGTCGAACAAGGCACCAGAAACAATAAAAACACAACTAAAACACATCCTCTGTTCAAGAAGAGAAATTGGGATAATCCAGGAAATTGTACACTAGTGACTCTCACATTGGTAGTTGGGAAACTGTTGGACAGAATTCTTAGGAATAGGATTTGTACCCATTTAGAAAAGCATGGCCTAATTAAGAACAGTCGGCATGGCTTTGTGCAGGGCATGTCACATCTTTCTAACTTAAGAGTCATAGAGTCCTACCGCATTGAGACAGGCCCTTCAGCCTAAACGGGACCATGCTGACCAAAATTTCCATCCACGCAAACTCCATTTCCCTGGACTTGACCCATATCCTTCCAAACATTTCCTGTCCATGTATTTGTGCAAATGCCTTTTAAGTATTGTTAATGTACCCCCCTCAACCGCTTCCACTAGCAGCTCATTCCATATGTGCATCACCCTCTGTGTAAAAAAAGTTGCCCCTCAGGTTCCCATATATTCTTTCCCCTCTTACCTTAAATGAATGCCTTCTACTCCTCGATTCCCCAACTCTGGGAAAAAGATTCAGTGCATTCACCCTGTCCATGCCTCTCATGATCTTATACAATTCTATAAGATCCCCCCTCAGTCTCCTACGCTGTAAAGAAAAAAGTCCTAGCTTGTCCAAACTCTTGCTGTAACTCAGTCCCTTGATCCTGGCAACATCCCTGTAAATTTCTTCTGCACTCTTTCCAGTTTAATAACATCCTTCCTCTAGCAAGGTGACCAAAACTGGATGCAATACTCCAAGTGCAGCCTCACCAAAGTTCTGTACAACTGCAACATAACTTCCCAACTTCTGTGCTCAGTGCTCTGACTGATGAAGGCCAGTGTGCCAAAAGCCTTCTTCACTGCCCTGTCTACTTAAGACTCCACTTTCAGAGAATCGTGCACCTGAACTCCAAGGTCCCTCTGTTTCAGTACACTCCTTAAGGCCCTACCATTCACCATGAAATTCCTACCTTGATTTGACTTTCCAAAATGCAACACCTCACCCTTATCTATATTAAACTCCATTTGCCATTTCTCGGCCCAGTTCCCCAGCTGATCAAGATCCGGCTGCAATTTCTGATAACCTTCCTCACTGTCCACGATACCACCTATTTTAGTGTCATCCGCAAACTTATTAATCATGCCTTGTACATTCTCGTCCAAATCATCGACATAGATAATGAGCAGCAATGGGCCCAGCACTGACCCCTGAGGCACACCACTAATCACAGGCCTCTAGTCCAACAAGCATCCTTCCACTATTACTCTCTGCTTCCTACCACCAAGCCAATTGTGTATACAATTTGCCAGCTCTCCCTGGATTCCACGCGATTTAATCTTCCAGAGCAGCTTCCCATGTGGAACCTTATCAAAGGCCTTAGTGAAATCCATGCAGACTATGTCTACTACTCTACCCTCATCAACCTTCCTGGTCACTTCATCAAAGAACTCTAACAAATGTGTGAGGCATGATCTCCCATGCATGAAGCCATGCTGACTACTCCTAATCAAACCCTGTCTTTCTAAATGCATGTATATCTTATCCCTCAGAATCTTCTCGAGTTACTTATCTATCACAGATGTTAAGCTTACTGGTCTATAATTCCCAGGTTTTTCTGTGCAGCCCCTCTTGAATAAGAGCACAACATTCACTACCCTCCACTCTTCCGAGACCTCAACCATGGCTAACAATGATGCAAATATATCAGCCAGGGCCCTGCAATTTCTTCTCTAGTCAAGATAGTTATTCACCTTCATACATTCTAATACTTCCAACACCTCCTCTGCTGTGATATGGACCGTCCCCGAGATATCACCATTAATTTCCCCAAGTTTCCAAGTCTTCATGTCTTTCTTCACGGTAAACACAGAGGAGTAATATTCATTGAGGACCTCACACATTTCCTGTAGTTCTACACATATGTGTCCACTTTGGTCCTTGAGGGGTTCTATTCTCTCTCTACTTGTTCTTTTTCCTTTAATATAACTTAACAAATCTCTTTGGATTCACCCTAATCTTCTCAGCCAAAGCTCTCTCATGCCCCCTTTTCACCCTCCTGATTTCCTTCTTCAGTAAACTCCTGTATCCCCTATATATGTCCAGGGATTCCCTTGATCCCAGCTGCCTGTACCTGAGCCATACTTCCTCTTCTTTTCTGGTCAAAGCCTCAATGTCTCGTCATCCAGGGTCCCTTACTCCTGCCAACCTTGCCCTTCACTCTCACAGGTACATATAGACCTTGAACTCTAGCTATCACACTTTTAAAGGCCTCCCACTTGCTAGAGGTCCTTTTGCCTGCAAACAAACTACTCCAATCAACCCCTGCAAGCTCCTGTCTAATTCCATCAAAATTAGCCTTGCCCCAGTTTAGAACTTGAACCTGTGGACCAGCTTTGTCCTTCTCCATAACTATTTTAAAATTAATAAAACTATGGTAACTGGTCCCAAAGTGCTCCCCCACTGTCACCTCAGTCACCTGTCCTGCCTATTTCCCAAGAGTAGGTTGAGTTTTGCCCCTTCCCAAGTAGGACCCTCTATATACTGCTGGAGGAAAACTTTTGAACACATTTAAAAAATTCCACCCCATCTCAGCCCTTAACACTATGGCAGTCCCAGTCTATGTTAGGAAAATTAAAATCCCCCACTATGACAACCCTATTTCCCCTGCAAGTCTCCGCAATCTCCCTGCATATTTGTTCCTCTAATTCCAGTTGACTATTTAGGGGCCTATAATACAACCCCGATAACGTCACCAGACCCTTCTTATTTCTTAGCTCCACCCACAAAGCCTCACTAGATGATCCCTCATTTATTTAATCTCTGACTACTGCTGTGTTACTTCCCTTAATCAAAAATGTGACTCCCCCTCCCCTTTTTCTTCCACCTCTGTCTTGCCTAAAGTACCTGTATCCTGGCACATTCTGCCAGTCCTGTCCCTCCCTTAGCCATGTTTCTGTAGTGGCTATAATATCTCAGTCCCACGACCTATCCATGCCCCGAGTTCATCGGCCTCGCCTGTCAGCCCTCTTGCATTGAAATAGATGTAATTTAATCCAACAGGCATTCATTGCTCCCTGTCCTATTCCAGCCTGACCTGTCTCTTCAACTTGCTATTTCCAATTATTCTATCTCCTTCCAGCCTCGCACTTGCGTCTCTGCTGTTGAGAATCCCACCCCCACCCCGCCAATCTAGTTTAAACCTTCCTTTACAGCACTAGCAAATCTGCCTGTCAGGATATTGGGCCCCCTCCAGTTCAGATGCACCCGTCCCTCTTGAACAGGTCACCTCTGCTCCAGAAAAGATCCTGATGATCCAGGAATCTGAAACCTTGCCCCCTGCACCAATTCTTTAGCCACGCATTCACATGCCATATCCTCCTGTTCTTACTGTCACTAGGATGTGGTATTGGAAGTAATCTGGAGATTACCACCATCAAGGTCCTAATTTTTAACTTTTTTCCTAGCTCTCTATATTCACTCTGCAGGATCTCATCCCTATTTCTACCTATGTATTTGTGCCAATGTGCACAATGACTTCTGGCTGCTCACCTTCCCCATTAAGAACGTTCTGCAGCTGCTCCGAGACATCCTGGACCCTGGCACATGGGAAGAAACACACCATCCTGGTTTCCCCTCTGCGGGATATAAATCAGTCACAGATATGAGTGGAGAAATGGCAGATGGGAGCTTAATCCGGGCAAGTATGAGATGTTGCACTTTGGGTGATCAAACGTTAAGGGAGTATACAGTTAATGACAGGACCCTGAACAGCATTGATGTGCAGAGGGAATTTGGGCTCCTAGTTCATAGCTCCCTGAAAGTGGCCACACAAGTAAATAGGGTGATAAAGAAGGCGTATGGCATGCTTTCCTTTATTGGTCGGGGCATTGAGGATGTCATATTGCAGCTTTATAAAAGTTTGGTTAGGCTGCACTTAAGAGTGTTGCATTCAATTCTGGTCGCCACATTACAGGAAGGTGTACAGGGTGCAGAAGAGGTTTACCAGGATGCTGCTTGAATCAGAGAGCATGAATTATAAGGAGAGGCTGGACAAACTAGGGTTGTTTTCTCTGGAGTGGTGGAGGCTGAGAGGAGACCTGATAGAAGTTTATAAAATTATGGGAGGCATAAATAGGGTTGACAGTGAGCTTCATTTTTCAGAGTTGAAATGTCTATTACTAGAGAGCATGTATTTAAGGTAAGGGGGGGATTGTTCAAAGGTGATGTGAGGGGCAAGTTTTTTACACAGAGTGGTGCCTGGATCGTGCTGTTAGGGATAGTGGTGGAGGCAGACATGGTACAGGCACTTAAGATAAGCACATGAATAACCAAGGAATGAAGGGATATGAACCACGGGAGGGCAGAAGGGATTAGTTTAACTTGACGTCATGTTTGGCACAACATCATTGGTCGAAGGGCGTGTTCTTGTACTGTACTGTTCTACATTGCAAAGTCCACTTCACTGAAA